TTTGTAAAATGGATCATCATCATACTAGTCTTTAATATACAAAAATAGAATAAACAGTAAGTAGAAAATTAGTAATAAAAGGCGTTCTTATCGCTATAAGCAATTTCTTGCATACAACCTGGAATATAGGACCAATGTATATAGAAAAGGTATATACTTTATACGAGCTGTATCTTTAAAAAAAGGGAGACGATGCTAGAAAGGACGATGAACTTTCAATTATCTTTAACTACACCAATTTAAAAGGGCTCTAGGGCTATTAGAAACATTCACTCATAAAACCTAAAATTCAATTCTCGGTAATTGAAAGCAAAATGGACTTTATAATACATATTATAACATTTTAAACGAACCGTGTCTGTACTTAGAATATTAAAAAAATGTATACCTTGAATCTAAGTTACAGAGGTAAAAAATAGTCTTTGGAATTTTTTTCTTTACCACTTTTTGACGGCTCCAGGGGTCTAGGACCGATGGTCGCAGGTTCAATTCCTGGCACGCTATAAACATTTGTATTCATGAGTATGATTATTTGTACGGTCTGGGTGTTTTACTGTATATATTATGTAAGTATTTACAAAAACAATAAACATGTAAGTATTTAAATCAGTTATCTAGATATCTATGGTTAGCTTGGGACGAAATATCGTTGTGAGAATTATTTATAGTTACTGTGAGTTTGGGCGTGATAATGTAAACTTTTTGTCTGAAATAAATACGGTACTCACTGATGTATTGCAAGTTTATATAATAATTGCATACTTCCCTTATCTATTAATGATTTTTTAAGAAGTTTTACTGTAAATTTATTACTAGCTTTGCCCGTGGTTTCATCCGCCTGATATTTATAGTCTATTTATTATTCTGATGTATAAGCTATATTGCTGTAGTTTCATCAAAATTCGTTCAGTAGTTTTTACGTGAAAGAGTAAAAAACATCCATACATAAGTAACTTACGACTAGTAACTTACGAGTAAGTCACCGAGTTCATAATATAGTCATTTCAATGTTTGTGTGTGCGTTTGTGTACATTAATCTTAAAAAGGTTTCTACTTTTATTTTAATTCTTATTTCACAGATGTGTTGTAGCAAGTTTTCAATAGCTTTTAGTGAGTATTTCATTTAATTCAGTTTGAGAACAAAAATGTTAAGTTAACCTATTGTTATTCCAAATACAAAGTGTAATCGCGGTCCCGAAGAGTATAAAAATAAAAATTTATTATAAAAAATAAATCCAGACATATTTTTCAGAGTGTGTACAAATGAGTGAGTTTTTGTAATATAATAAATACTACAATGAGAATTAATACCATTTTTACCTATACTGCCTTTTTGCCTCAAGCTCTTTTTTGTAAGTTTTATAAGTACTTACATATGAAAATATTTTTTTTAAGAAAATCGAACCTGCGATCTTCGGAAGTGAAGCGGTGCGCTAAACCGCTAGACCACCGAGTCCGTAAAATGGCGTAGGAATTCAAATAAACGGGACACAGGGAACATTCAGATTTCAATACTCGTGTTTATACATCTAATAATAACGCTGCCTGCACTCTAAATGCATTAGGGTCAAATCCCTTCGCTCCAGCCGACTTGTGTGTTTATATATCTAACCGACTTGAAAAGAGATTCATTCTGCCACATTGTGGTATCACCTTCCAGCAATGGTATTTCCGAACCGATATGATATTGAATCCTTCAAGTATGCAGCTTATTCCTTGTTAAAGGGCCGGCAAGGCACTTGCAATTCTCCTGATGTTGCAGGCGCTCATGGACCGCGGTTATCACTTCACTCTCCATCAGGTGAGCCGTAAGCTCAATTTATAGTAAAATTATACGTAAAAATTGATTTCTCATGAGGACAGATATAAGCTAGGCTTTTATCTAACAAAAGGAGACGAATTTGCGCATTCGCGTTGATCTTATGAAATGTATAAAAGTAATTTTGTTTTTACCTACTGGTTGTTTCAGAGATTAGCGCGTCCAAACAAACAAACCGTTGATCTTTGTACACTGGTATAGAATTGCGTACTAAAACGCGGTCAGGAAGTGCATTTGGAGCCAAGAACGCAGTTTATAAACGTGTTACCTGCTGCTCCCACCTTAATTCACTACGAATCGGTTTCAACCAAAGAACTAATAATATGCACGATCTAGATCAGAATAATTGAATGTCTCCAGTTGTATAGCGGTTTCAACAATACCCTACTGTCCGGTAGTTGCGGGTTCGGTTCGCGCGGTATAATTATTTGACCTGATAAGTTTATGTTTGTATTTGTTTTTCTGGCTTTCTATGCATGGTCTTAGAGAACTATGGACTCGGACTACTATGATAACTTTTAATTTATAACATTGTACGGAGTAGTACGGAGAACAATGTTTAAATTTAAAGTTATCATAATTAAATATTACATATCCAATAGCGTAGCTTTTTAAACATTTGAACTACCCTCAATTATATACAATTTTTTTAAATTATTTATTGCTTAATTAGAAATTCTGATAATAATTTTCGATAGGAGCATTTATTTTTTTTAAATCATTACCGAAATGGAAATTATAATAAAGAAATATGATATGGGCATAATACTAACATAATAAATGTTATTAAAAAGAAATTTACTCGTATTTAATACACATGCATGTTCCCTATATAACTTGGCGTGAAGATATAAAGAGATCTGTTACAACTATCTACCTACAACGCATTAACTATCATACATTACTATCTGGAGCCGCGGCTTTGTGCGAGTAAAATATAACATAATTTTTCTAAAATAAAACAAGCCTAAGTTACTCCTTATTCCATCAGTTACCTGCCAAAAAAGTCCCGTCAAAATCGGTCCAGTCATTTCAGAGATATGCATCAAAAGTAAATAATGTATTCCCAATACCACCTAAGCCTGGCCCATATCTCTTAGTCTAATTTCGATATAGAAGTTCTATTTTATTTATGTAATTCGAATGGCAAACGAAGCCGACGACATGATGGTAAATGGTAACTGTCATCTGCATAATATGTGCAGCATCGCATATGGTGACGCCAATGACTTCCTTCATAGGTTGCCGTTCTGGAGGACTAGGATATCAAGCGAATTCAATACAGACATGACGTCTATAATGAATTTACTAACAATGGTGGTAGTTGTTGTTCACCACCCGAAGATTACCCAAGTGCCTCTTCAAATGTATTATTTCCCCGCCAGCCACCATTTTCCCACCACCTATCGATGACGTAATGTGGGAGAGTCGTAGTCTAACATGACATAGAGGCATAACTGAAGGGCGCCCTCTATAATTTTTATTTCAATAGTTAGTGACAATTCACGTTTTGTTATTAATGAAACAATATCTAGAAAAATCGTAACATGTGATATATTATGGGTCGATATTTTAATTGTCAATATAGTAGGTACGTCAATATTACGTTGTACTGTATATCTAATTGTCTATGTCGTTGCCTGCTGTCTTGCTGAGAAGACGTATTTTATTTACCTACCATTACCTAGATATAGATTATTAAGTAACTTATAAAACTACTTATCTATCAATTTGTCGCTAGCATCTTTATTGGCAAGCTATTAGGAAGACAACAACAAGGTTGTCACGCTTGAGAAAATTAATTAGAAACAAAAGAAAAACTCTCCGATGGCCGGAGAAGAGCAAAAAGTTGATCGTTTGATACTTTTTGCGAAGCTGTTGATCACTTTATTTTGAAAAAAATAAATAAATGGCATTTAAAAAAATAGATGTAAAAAATTTGTATGTCTACTTGGCAACACAAATAGGAAAAGGGTTTTCTTCCTCGTAACTATTTCGTTTTAAATACAAAAAATAAGCTCTTTTTATTGTTTATATATGCAAGGACATATTAACTTAAATAGATTACATTATATTACATTGTAATATTTTTTAAGAATCATAGTTTCAGGTTTTTCAGTATGTATGTTTATTCTGAATCATAAAGAATCAAATAGATTAATTTTGAACATGGGTAGGTAGACACAATGTTTAGATTATTTTTTATGAAATGTATAATGATCCAGTTATGATATAAAAGCTATTACAGAACTTATAGGTTCAAACCCCGTCTGATTGGAAAATTTAATATTTTTTTAAGTACATTCGTACCTAATAACTATGTAAATAATAATAAAATAAAGCTATGTTACGGGTACAAACCCGCTAGGTCTATACAATTACCTACTTGCAGTTACACAATCGGTGTAGATACAACGATTGTTCTCGGAAAGTATGTCCCAATACTTTCCAACAGTGGATGGCTCAAAAGAAGGGCATCTAAGAGGTAGAACAACACGGGGTGGCAAGTGGAAGGACCCTCTAGATTTAGTCGCGAACGCGAATAGTTTGATAAAATTATAAGTCGAATCAATCGAGATTCTTAATTGTAATTAGAATTAAATAAAGAAGTTAATTGAACTTTCTTTGTATTTTTAAAGAACCCCTCACCGACCGTCAGTTCGTAATTGGTACATAAACACTAATTTTTAATGTTAATATTTATTATATGAATAATCATTTATTTTATATAATAATAATTAAATATATTTTTTCAAATATTTTTTATAAACCATTTTAACGTGTGTTTCTTTTTACGCAACTACTGCATAATATTAACAATGAATGTCATCTCACACAAATGTGTCATCTTTTCAGAACTTAATGCGTAATAGTTATACCTACTCGCATTGTTACCATTATCTGTACAAAATCCTTCTGTTTCAGACATCTTGTTAAGATGGAGTTAAAATTATTCATTCTTTCATTCATCAATTAAAATACAATGTTTATTTTATGTTTCAGTGTGTAGTTATGTTTGATGTTTATTTATATATGGTAGTGCCAGTGAAGTATATTAGTACCAGGAGTTAATTCGTGCTATGTACAGTCAACCTCGTACATATGTGCGGTTGCCCGCTGGAAACACCAGCGAGTTCAGTGTGGCTGTAGGCTTGCATCAGGGTACCTCTTTTTGTTGATAATGGATGCCTTGACGTCGGAGATACAAGAAGAGGCACCCTGGTGCTTGCTATTTGCAGATGACATTGTGCTCGTTGGTGAGGAGGAGGCTGGGATACAGAGTAGATTGGTGATGTGGCAGCAAAAGCTGGAAAGCGCGGGCTTAAAAATTAGTGTTTCCAAAATGGAATACATGTTTTGTGATTTTGGCGGTCTTTCCGGCTCTGCAGCCATATCACTAAATGGTGCTCCATTACCGATCTGCTCCGATTTCCGGTATCTAGGTTCTCTCCTCCAAAGCAATGGTGAATTAGACAGGACCATAAAGCATAGAATTAACGCAGGATGGATGAAGTGGTGGCAGGTTACAGCAACGACGTGTGACTCGCATGTTTCTCTTAAGCTTAAGGGGAAAATTTAGAAAACTATGATCCGACCTGCTGTCTTGTATGGACCAGAGTGCTGGCCCGTAAAGGCGATGGATGAAAGACGACTGCATGCAACTGAAATGAGAATGTTGAGGTGGATGTGTGGTGTGACAAGAATGGATAAGATAAAGAATGAACACCGGTGGCACCGGTGTTAGAGAGGTTGAAGAGTAATCGTCTATCATGGTATGGACATGTAATGCGTAGGAACGAGGATAATATTTTAAGAAAGGTGTTACATATGAATGTGGATGGTTATAAGGGTAGAGGAAGGCCGAAAAAGAGATGGATGGACTGTGTGAAAGATGATATGGTTAGAAAGGAAGTAAATAACGCGATGACTGCGAATAGGGATGAATGGAAGCGAAAAACATATTACACCGACCCCAAATAAATGGGATAAGGAAGAAGCAGATGATGATGATGATGGTGCCTCCACTGGTAAACCGTCCGTAAGTTTTACACCAGATGATGATGATGATGATGTTAGTCGTGACAAATTCACCAATAATTTATCACGATGGTTTCCAGAGGGAACCATCGTGATAGGATAGGAAGGGTCGTAAATGTTTACTCTGTGTTATCCGCCTAGATTTATGTATGTATAATACGCTTATTATTAGGATAACACTTTACAACTATATTTATTATATGAAGGTATCCGCAGAAAACCAGCGTCGTGGCACCCCGTCACGACATATACTGAGCGGAGACCTATTTGGTACTGTAAAATTAATATAAATTATTAATATAAAAATGTAAATTAAAATTTAAAAATTATTTTCAGTGTAACAAATAAACAATTTTCTTTCATTCTTTCTTTCTTTCTTTTTCTTTCAAAATAATATTTAATTCAATTAAATCTTATTTATTACAATTACTACTTACCTACGCTATCTATTGTAATAAAACCGGTGTAATGCATTTTTTTATTGTTAACCGGGTCTTAACAAAAATAATTTAATGGCAAATAATGTACTCTTATTTTCCTCTCTCGAAATGAGTGCAACTTACCGAAAAGTCGAGAGGGGTAAATTTATTTTATTTGATTTAGTATAAACATTGTAATTTATTTAAAGTATATAACATGTGCTTTCGGATAGGGACCTGGAGATCTGTATTACAGGTTATACCTATTTCAGAACCAGCTTCTCGCAACAATTGATTGTAGTAATAAATTTATGCAATGTTACTATCTAAAATACTACGCATTTGTTGCCAATGTGTTACCATACCTTTATTTGTTCACAACACTTAAATAAGGGCTAATATCGAAGAGGTGAAATTTCAGATTTAAGCGTTACCAGTTTTAGGTAGATCTGAATCTGCGTTAATAGTTAGTTGGTACAAACGACCTTCTTTATACTCGTAAGTATGGATTAATACTTGCAAAATTGTATTAGAATTCTCGATATCTTCCCCTTAACTGGTACAGATAGGAGTTTTGCGTCATAACTTGTCTCAAGCAGAGGACATTAAATTATGCATAACAGGACATACCTAACCTAAGGGATTGTTTACAAGCAAAAATAAACCCACGCGCTTTGTAAATGTAAAAGTTCTGGGACGTAACTGAAGCGAAACATATATATGTATCTTTACATGGTAGGTATAAAACAAAGTCACCGCCGTTGTCTGTTTGGTTATATATTTAAATTACGCAACAGATTTTAATGTACTTTTCAGCAATGGGAAAGTGATTTAAGGAGTTATATATAAAATATATAATACATGCAAGTTATAGTAGGTATAGATATTTAATATTATGTTATCTGTGGTATAGGTGAAGCCGAGAAATTCAAAGACTTGTAATGCTTCCTTGCGATACCTGGACGGGTCGCTAATATAAAATAAATCACATTTATTTTGATTTGATTAAAATTATATTATACTAGCTGTCCCCGCATATTATAAATTAAATGAAAATAATGGTCACGATTCCTCGCACGGCACAAACATTTGTATTCATGATTATGATTGTTTGTGTCGGTCTGGGTGTTTTCTATGTATATTAAGTATGTATTTATATCTATGTATTTGTATCAGTTATCTAGTACCCATAACACAAGCTTTAGCTATTATAATTATTAAAAAAATCATTATTAAAAAATAGGAATCGGTAATAGAATGGTGAAAATGTGGGGTAGTATGTATTATTTAATACCACATTATTAAAAAAAATGTGTATAAAATAAAAATAAAATGTTAGGGGTGGACAATCCTTATCATTTAGGATTATGAAAATAGACAGTAGCCGATTCTTAGACCTACTGAATATGCAAATAAAATTTCATAAAAATTGGTCAAGCTGTTTCGGAGGAGTATGGTAACTAGTATTGTGACACGGGAATGTTATATATATAAGAATTTCCGGTGTTATATAGAAACATGATGATTGTATATGGCATGTATTGGGTAGGGAAATTTCAATAGAATAAATTTATTATTAATGAATACAAATGACTATATACCACTAACTTATATTATTACAATAGTCAGTACAAGTGGACTCTTGCAGAATTATTTTACTATCATTATATTACACTAGCTAACCCGCATAACTTCGTCTGCGTTTCATTTCCCTACCTTTTGCAATATGTTTAATTGCAGCTCCGCTTTTATTGGTTGTAGCTTAATGTTATATAGCTTAAATTCCCTTCCCCGACAAATGGACTATCCAACACAAAAATAATTTTTCAATTCGAATCAGTAGTTCCTGAAATTAGCGCTTTAAAACAAACAAACTCTTCAGCTTTATAATACATAATATATATATTAGTATAGATTAAAAAAATAACTTTCTGTGACATATATCTAAATTTGAGTTTCAATCAAACAATTTCTAAAAGAATCATCAAAACTGTTCTGTCATTGAACTGTAAAATATTGATAAAATATACACAGAAAATTTGAAAATATCATTGTTTTTCAATATAATTTTAACTTCACGTGGCTTAATTAACAATATTTTTTTACCCTACTTTGTATCTTCGTTTAAAACATTTAAGGAATAAACTTAGTCACTAGATCTCATTCCTCCCATTTACATATGACATATCCCTGTTGATACCCAATAAAGTAGGTTATATACATAAATTAGGAATAAGAATTATGATACACATAATTTAAATTCAAATTCAAAATATCTTTATTCATGTAGGTCTATTACAGACTCTTACGATATGTCAAATCTACCGTCAGTTCGGAATGATATCGAGATGAGAAGAACTGACAAGAAACTCAGCTCATAAATTTATAGGTTATACATATAAATTAGGAATAATAATGATTCAAGTATTGGCCCTTTAGGCACACCCACATGTACAAGAAAATTATTAGATTTACTTACTTACTTCTAAAATTTGAATAAACAGAATAGAATTACATATGAAAAGGTCGTCGTTAGAATCTATTAAAACAGCGTTAGGAAAATTTGCCAAAACAGATGTAGCATAAATTTGGCAAGGGAAATCACTACTCATTATACTATTTTAGTTAATTGACAGGTTCCCGAGTCCTTGAGCAAAATTTTGCGATCTATTTCAAAGTTTATGTTATTAATGTTTTCCGCAAAGGTCGGTAGTGGAATGCCGTATAATAAACAATTATAATTCCTAGTTATTTAACTAATTGGTATTGGTAGTATATGCTCAAACGCATCCTTCGCCTTTCACTAAACGTTTCTGTGAAGGAGTATGTACTTATAGTATACACACCGTGTAATTCATAATAATAATAGTAAACGTAATCTTTTACAAAGTCTCTCCTTGTTTACAAGGGCTTGGTAATATGTAGTATTTATTATCTTATTTGTGGTAAAAAAGAGGAATAATTGCCCTATTGCTACAATGTGATATGTCAAGTTGACCACCACGCGGGCCCTGGAAACTATCGTGGCTAATTCCTGCTAAAATCCATCACAATAGGCTAAACTAGCATGACTTCATACTCATCCTATCATCCTCCTGGCGTCATCTTTACTCATACTTGTATTTGTACTCATGATCAAAACTCTTTTGATCATGAGTACAAAAAGGTAAGTAAAATTTACTATAGTAATGAAACTACAGATACTCTAATAATCGCAGCATATTATGCGCTATCGTGAAATGAAAATATTTTTTTCTTTTTAATGGGATAATATGACTGGAAATACTATGTTAAATATAGAAGATAACAGAAGAATTAAATTGATATATGAATATTTTACTATAGGTAATAAAAAACATAAACAATATATAAAAAGGTGCTGCCTACACGAGAAACAAATGATTCCGCGCAGGTATACCCGTGAGAAATAGTATAACTGTGGTGTACTATTGAGTAGTTTACGAACGAACTGATTCAAAAGAGCACACTCCGAAACGCGACTCAATTGCTCACCCGATCAGTCGAAATACAGCCTGTATTTCGACAACAAAGCAAGGTACTTGGCAGCCAAAATTCTCAGGTGACTATTGTACCCAAGTAGTTTTGCAAAGTCTACCTTGGTCTGAATAATGTTGTTCCCGTTAAATGTTTCTTCGTTAGCTGCTAATAACAAATTGAGGATTCTCATAGCTCTGCTTTTAAGAACTGGTCTGCTTTAATTTCTACTATAAAAAATAATACAATATTTACTTTACAAAGAGGGCCATTCGCTCCATTAATGGTATGGGTTCCAGGGAGTCATTGCGAGAGTTTTAAGGAATCACTAAGACTGATTTACTCTTATTTAGTTACTCAAGCAATTAGTTATGTCTTCATTATCTTGATAGTAATTAATGCTAGTTGGTAGTTTGTATTTATATTTTTTTTATTAAAAATGTAAAGTTACAACTATTGTATTTAAAAGAGCAACACGCAAGTTTCTTCCTCGTTCTTCTTATGATGAGACAGCTTTCCGAATGAGCGGTAAATTAATAAAAAGTAATGACTAGACAAAAGTGCTTCAATGTAAGTTTATGTGAATAAAGAATTTTCATTGTATTCTATTATAGAATAGAGAATAGTC